TGAGAGAGCTTAACTAGAAAATTCTGACTTGTGCTGTTATTTCCGAGAGCAAAGGTCTTAAAAATGAAAACGTATCATTTGGGAATTCGGATGTAAATATTTAAAAATATGGACATTGTCTTCTAAGGAAGCTGGAGAGCAGAGCTGTCTCTCCTTATTTTTAATTTTGGATTTGGCTGTTATTGTCAGCGGTGTGATGTGAGTTCAAAGTGTAAGTCATTTGGGCAGCCTCATCTGTCTATGGAAATACCTTCCAGGTAATTGATGCTTTCCATATCTTGTGCCTTATTTCCATATGATTTCCATATTCCATCTTCGTTCCCCTTACCACTCAAGAGTGCTGAGTTAACCTTAGTAACTGCATGCATATTCTCTGGAAAACCTGAATGCTTATGGTTTCCCCTGAGTGGGCCCCACTAAGATGTAGCCAGCAATAATAAGTACCAGACCTTTTCTGTCTCTTCATACAAATCAGCCACTTTCTCAGAATGTCATGGACAAAACAAATAGCAAGATATGCTTGTAGGCAAACTCAGGCAAAATGCACTCAAAATGCCAACCCTCCTGCCATGTTAAGCAAAAGACACCCCCCCCACACCCAAAAAAATCTGGTATAGCTTTCCTAACAAATATTAACACCAATTAAATACAAAAATATTGTGCTTTTATAAAGAAAATGGAATTAAAACTCCTTGGTACAGCTGCTAAATATAATGAAAATAAAGGAAAAAAATCCAAGTTTTTTTTTATACGAATATCTGTTAAGGGTCCACATTTGTAATTGTACATATGTGTGTGCTATGTCCATTAATCTAGCATGCTGTGAATACAGCAAGGAGACTGGAAGACTGAGATCATCCAAGTTTAAATGGCTCCTACAGTCACTCATACATATACTGTTACATGCTCCAGTTATTTAAATGAGCATTTAAGGCTAAGTGTAATGAATGCCTGTTTTTTATTCCAGTGAAACGTTCAGAGTGTTGCATAATTGCTCATCGGCATGAGCTTGACTGAGTTACATGTGCTCTTTACAGAAAGAATTTCAACCAGAAAACCTGTTCTCTTAAAAGTTTACTCACAAATTGACTAAAATTTGATGTAACAGACATGAAAGAGGCTGTTAAGCATAGGTAAAATATCTTCTGATAATATCTACTTTTATAATGATATTTCTTTGTTTATAACATATAAACAATGACACAGCAATATAATTGGAGTCAAACTTGTAGAACTGTCTTTTGGCCCCAAATCATTATGTCAGTAGTCAGTCTCATTTTGTTCCAGCTTTCAACCAGTTGACTGATAACGATTTTTTTTTATAATTCTGTGGCAGATATTAGCCTACATTGAACCATATTAGCCCATGCATACTAAGCATCTTGTTATGTGTTCGTGTGAGTGAGATTTAGAAGTAATACAGCCCAATGTGGCCTAGTAAGAAACATTTTATAAGTGCAAATATTGTACTAGAGCTTTTTATTATTAGACAACTCCCAAGTTCTTCCATTATCTGTGGCGAGAAGAATGGAGTGATAATCATAAGCAGGTAGAGTCTGTTCATTTCCTAATGGTCTTTTACGTATATGATCTCATTTGGTTCTTACTGCGATCCTGTGAAGTCTCACTCTCAAGTTCGTGACAGGACTCTGAAGCTGACAGAGGTGAGTTCACTAGCCTGAGGCCTGAGTGACTGCCTGCCTTTCTGTCAGACCAAAGCCTTTTCCTTGTGCTCCGCTTATTTTGCAATTGCAAGCTGACTTCACCATGGAAGACAACATTAGCAGACTTAAATCTTTTCCTGGGATTCTCTTACAATATTCCCAGGTATGGCACACAATCTGTTGGATTGTGTAGCTAGCTTTTGCAGGGAGGTAAGGCCATGTTCTGTGAAGGAGCTCTGCTTCCAGTTCCATTCAGTAGGTGCACTCTCTTTTGTGAGAGCCCCTGTATTAGGGTTGGCATTACTTCTCAATTGTGTCCAGGATACTGTAATTCCATAGTTTTCCTTTTGTGTGGGAAGGAGTGTGAGGAATTGAGGGAGTCTCCAATTGGTTCTTCCTTTGTCCTTTTTATTTCTCAGCTCCTTCTCACCCTAAACCCTCTGGCAGAGGGAGGCTTTTCTTCTTGACCTTTGCTCTTCTCCTTCCTTGCAGGTCTTTACCATGGTACAATTTCTCTCTCCCTCTCTCTTTCCCTCCCTCTCTCTGTCTCTTTGTCTCTGCTTCTCTCTTTTTCTTTCTCTTTGTCTGTCTGTATGTCTCTCTGTATGGGTGGAAAGCTGAAGGTTCCTTCTAGGGATGATTTGATTGATGTATACACTGGGAACATTTTTAATAATTTAATGCCTGCTTCAAAGGAGATTACACCAAAAAGCACATTGCTTTTCATTTATTCATTACAGATCTGTCATAGCAGCATTTTTGTTTGCCCTGAATTCTAGTGTCATAGTACAATATATGTTTTACTCCAGACCCCAGATATTTTAAAGGATTATAAGCCTTTAACTAGCGTGACCATCTTGTTTAAATTGACCAAATCAGCTTCAGAATCTTGCCTTTCTTAAAAATGAGCTAACCAGTTCTGGCTTTACTTGATGTCTACTGAGGAAATAGCACTTGGAAACTCTAATAGAAATAGCAGGATGGAGGTGCAGCTCTGCCCGATAGTAAGGGTGGAAATAATGACAGAGAATAGAGCCTGGACTTAGGGCTACGACCTTCTTTCTTACCAGGAGATTAGAGTATGTAAAGCATTTTTCAGTAAAAGGTGAAGAAAAAGTATATGGGTTTGGGTAACAGGGATTAAAACAAAAAAGGTTAAGACTAGGACATAGTCTAAAATCTAAGGAAAGAAAGAAAGCTACCTGTTTTCAATTATGACTTTTCTTTCATATGTAGCTACCTGACCTGACTTTTGCAGGAATGCATTAGTATATCTCAGAGAGCAAGGACTATATCCAGATTCCTAAATAACTGGAGTAAATTGTTTTTAATATTATTTTTAAATTAAGAAATGTTATATAGCTTCTTTTAAAAAAACTCTAAATTTTACAGCAGTACACATAAAATATTTTCTGGGAGAATGATATCCAGTCTTCCAACTTTCAGAGATAATTTAATAAGAAATCTGTCTGGCCTTCTGGATGGTGGTATTTATTTTTTTAACACCTCAAGAATACTGTTTGCTCTCCTTTGATGTTTAAATAAATGCATCTTGGATATTATAAAATCAAAGTAGGAACTTCTTGTGTGTGTGTGTGTGTGCGCGCGCGCGCGCGTGCATGCGTGTGTGTGTGTGTGTGTGTGTGTGTGTGTATGTGTGTGTGTATGTGTATACTGGGTTCTGCTGCTTGAAGTAAGGGCCTGGGTGCTGTCTCTGAGCTGCTTTGTCTCAAGGTTAGCACTCTATACCAGTTGAACTACCACAGCCACACTTCTGGCATTTTTGGTAATTAATTGGAGATCAGAGTCTCATGGATTTTCCTGCCAGGGCTGGCTTCAAACCATGATCCTTAGATCTTTGCCTCCTGAGTAGCTAAGAGGCATGAGCCACTGATGCCCAGCTGAGGAACTTCAGAAGAATTCAAGATTCAAACTTTTTTCTTTTTTATGTCAGCTGTGGGGCCTGAACTCTAGGCCTGGGCGCTGTCCCTCAGCTCTTCAGCTCAAGGCTAGCACTCTACCACTTGAACCACAGCGCCACTTCTAGCTTTTTTCCCCCTGCTTATGTGGTACTGAAGGATCGAACCCAGGGCCGGATGCATGTGAGGCAAGCACTCAATCACTGAGCCAACTTCCCAGCCTGATTCAAACTTTTTCTTCTTCAAAATCATGTGTAGAATTTTACTTTGGACAGTTAGTCTACCCACCTTCATTTGTTTTCCTCCTTCACATCCTAAACTGGAAACACTTTGGGACCTTTTATTGTTGTTAAAGCAATTATTTGCTTAGGTAAAAGGGAACTAGTTTTAAGAATTGTAAAGGGGCAGAAATAATTAAGCCCCAAACTCTAATTTGGGACTTGAAAGAGGCAGGTCTGTGATTTTTAACAGATAACAAATTGTGTTCTCTCTACCCTAAATTTAAAGACAGTCAAGTCAATAACATGAAGGCAACAAAGAATATGATAGTTCCAGGAAAGAATGTATCATAAGTGGAAAGACAGAAAGGGATTTCTCTGTTCTTAAGAGTTTGTGATGTGCTAGGTATTGTGCTTGGCATCTGACATAACACATCTCATTTAATCCCCATGGAAATTTTATTATCTTCACGTTTTACAGATGGGAAACCTGAAACTTACAGAAATTAAGTAGTGGACAATAAGTGCCTGGCCAGGACTTAAACTTGGCTGTCTTTACCTTTTCCAAGTCTTGGCTCTGGAGCTTGGCTTCCTGTTTTATTTTAAAACAGATTTACATGGGTACCCCCCAAAACAGTAAAAAATGCTTAAAAATGAGTATATAAAGCACTGAAGTTTTGAATTTGGAAGTTAGCTGTTAGTTCTCTTAGACCTTGTGTGCAAAGCTGTCTACTTTCTGGTCTCTCTATCCTACAGGGCTAAGAATGAAAACGTTTTTACAGCCTATTTTTTGCTTCCTCCTCTGAATCAGACATTCCCCTAGATGCTATCCAAGGACCTTGTCATTTAGTCTCCCGTCTGTCAGAGCAATTACAAGCACTGATTCTGGAGTTACATGCTTAGTTCAAATTCTGGCTCTTCTAGGGTACGTTGGACTCTCTTCTTGGGCTTCCATTGCCTTAGTTTTCTCATCTGCAAAATGGAAACAATACCAATCTCACAAGACCATTGTGAGCTTGAAGTGTGGTGTATGGCCAGTACTCAGTAAATGTAAGCATACTACACACAACCTGTATCAGGCAAATGTAAGATTGTTTTACTTGACTGTTAAATGAGAATTATTACAGCGCCTTCCTATGCAATGGAAAAATCTCTGTTATGCTTCTTCGTTTTCTCCATTATTTCTTTTGATCCATCAGAGGCCAGCAGAAATAGTCGATGAGGAAGAAGATGGAGAGAAAACAAACAAGGACACAGAACAGAAAGAAGACTTTTCAGGAATGAATGGAGAGGTTGAAGATGTGGGTAGGGAGGCTGGCAATGCCCCTGAGCAAGGTGAAGAGATCCTGGATCACAGTGAGAAGGAAGGCCCTGCTCACATCAAGGGAGGCACTGATGAAGAAAACGGAGAGGAACTGGACCAGGTTAATGAACTGCAACCCACAGTGGAAGGGGAAAGAAAGTCTCAAGGAGCTGACAATGGACAAGATGAGGTATCTCTATTCTGCTTACTTGTGTGTGTATACCCATTAGGACTTATACCAGAATCCCTTATAAGGTTGGGTAGGAAAGATCCCATACTATTTAATTTATTTCAGCTTTTACCTATTCCAACCAGTTTACAAATACTGTAAATGCCTTAAGTCTTCTTCTTCCTCTTTCTCTTTCTATGTCTCTGTCCCTCTGGTTCTCTCTCTCTCTCTCAGATTCTTATAAAATGACTAAAAAGTCCATTCAGTTCACCAAGTAACATTTTCCCTCAGTTCTTGTGAAAAGTGAGAAATGATTAGTAGGGAATTAACAAGAGATATAGGACAAATACAAATAGGCGATAGGCATTTATTGAGTGACTGAACTTATACTATATTCAAGACACCTTTAAATACTTTAAAAGTAACTGTGAAACAAGACAGTATAGGAATATCCATATGCATTTGTTGTTTTTTTTTTTTAATCTTCCTTTCTGGAGCATACATCGTGGCTGTGGGATTTGGAAAAGCTGGAGCTTTTGTCTCCTCAAATGGTGGCTCTTTTGGGGCGATGGAGGCCCTAGAATTTCACAGTGCATATTTTGAAAACCAGCTTATTCTAATCTTACCCTCGCCCCCAGTTTTCAGTCCAGTGGGGAAGACAAGTTATAAATGAGGTGATAATACCATTAATAACATAAGAAATCCAAACAGCACGAATGTGAGTTGTTATTGGAGAAAATCTGCCTCTGCATCTTGAATTTCTCTACCTGCTTTTATCTATTGGCTACTTGATGGTGCTTGGTGCAGTATTCACCATGAATTTGTAAATTGTAGCAGGAAACTCAAAGCAGGGGTGCATTAGGAACGGGTGGGATTAATGAGGCATGAGTGCAGAGCTGCTGCGCTTTACTCTTATCTCTGAAAATGCTCAACTGAAACATCGAAATATGCTTTTAGAGTGAAAAGTCACAGGGGAATCAGGAAAGAGTGAGAAAATTAAAGCTTGCACAGAAGAAATGAGCCTGCTTTTAAAACATGGGCAGACTCAGGTGCCAGAAAAGGTATTTCAAGTCATCTGACTGGAATCTTTTTGCTCTACCCAGATAGGAATTGTGGGTAAGCAAGGAGAAACTCTTAGTCCTGGCTTCTGAGTGCCCAACAACCAAGAGCTGGACAGACCCAGATTCATACAATCCCAAGCCATGAAAAGCTCGGGCCTTATAAGGTTTTAGAAGCTAGAGGCATGGCTCTAAGCGTTAAAGTTGGAGACTTACTTCTCTGGACTGTAATCACATGGCCTCAACACCTGGCAGCCACCGGTCACCATCTTGCAGCAGTATTGGCTGCTGGAGCAGATAGCAGTAAGCAGGCAGCAGTTACAACAACAAGTGTTGTAACTTTCAGGCCTAGAACACCTGAGACTCTTGGCAGCTCTGGGCAATTCTTCCAGTGACAGTGGATTCTTAACTGGTTGGTAGCTCTCACTGTTTCTGGGGCCTCTCCTCCCCATTGCTACTTGTCCTGGCTGCGCTCTGGAACTCTTCACTGACTATCACTGCTACTGCTGCTGTTGTGGCTACTGGGGCGACAGCGGTGGCCACTGTGCTGTTTCTACATTATCAACTCCTCCTTTGATTTTTTTTTAAATAAAAACTCTTTCTTTGTTTTTCTGGATGAAAGTCAAAAGGAGGGAAGAAAAGTCCATGAGAGAGAAACCTTTGATGGGGCAATGCTGGAGGATGTCTCCAAGCTAGTTCACAAACTGGCTCAAGCAGCCTGCTTATTTAGCCTGGAGGGGGTGGATGGAGAGGGTGCTTGCGCCAATCACAAGTCTTTCACATAAATGAGGGACTGTGTTTGCACCAATCACAGGTTTTCTGCTTTACCAACAAGGTAAGTGCTTACTCTCTGAAGTTTCCTGAGGCTTGTGATGACCCAAAGCAGGGCCTATAGGCCATTTGAAAGAGTCATGGTTGGGAGAATGTCTTCTGGAGCCAGTTTTGTGTTTCAGCATCAGAAAGCTTTGGTTACTGTTTAGCTTCCTCAAGGTGTCTGTGGAGTATTCACAGCAGTGAGGCTAGCATGAGGGCAGTTTGGATAGCCAATAATCCTTCACTCAGGGAAGCTGGGGCACCAGGACACCAGGAAAAGGTCTAACAGCTGTGTTAGACATCACCCTGTCCTCAAATATTTTAGCTTATTTAAAGGAAAATCAGTATTAAAGGGGTGCTTACACTAAAGGCCTATCATGAACATCAGCAATATTTTCAGTGCCTTAACAGCGTTTTACTCTTAGCCTAATATGCTTGGGGAGAGGAGTCATCTTTGTGTTAAGAGTTTGGTAGACATAAAGGGCTGAGAACAGAAAGATCAATGGGTAATGACAGGTTAAAAAAACAAAGGGAATCAAAAGACTATTTTTAATTGACTACTTATATGATTTAATAAAACATTCAAAACAAGAAAGTATATTTTTCTTTGTGAATTTTATTAGTTTTAAAAACCAAAGAACTTAATACTTTTGTTTTGACTTATTTTCTTCCAGGCTGATTTAGATTCTCAAAGACCACCAAGGCCAGAAGTAAAAATCACCAGTCCTCAAGACAATGAAAACAATGAACAAAACAAGGACTATGCTGCTGTGGCATAAATGAACTTAAAAAAGAAAGTATATGATACAAGAAAAATGAAGGGTTCTAGTACTTGAATTATAATCATATAGTTACTGATAACATAATGTGATGGTATGGTTGGACATCACTTGTTGAATTTTAAAATCTGAGGCCTGATGCAAAGATTAGATAAGTTCTAGCTACTAAAAGGAGAAGAGATTCTCTTTGTGGAATATGTTTTTAAATTTTTCATTTAAAAGAATTAAATAAGAAAGGCAGAGGAGAATGTGCACTGGAAGACAATTGGCTACTTGTGTTTATGAAGGATAAAAGAATAGGATCACTCCTATTGCATATTTTATTATACATTTAGAAGTGAGATTACTCGATGGCAGATTGTTCTAAAAGCATTTATCTAAGAAAGCATAGAATTTTAAAGAGCTGGTAATAGGAAAACGTGTATTATTTTCTTAAAGCAATAAACTCTTGGCTGAGCAAATGACAATTTAGTTTCAGAGATAATTTAGAGATAGCAAGAGACTGAAATGTTTCCAGTACTTATTGATATTCCTTTCTTTCTTCCTCTTTAAGCCAAAACACCTTGCGTGAACTGAAAAGACAAGATGAGGTGTTCATTTTGGTAGGAGGAAACCTTCTTCTACAATTTAGTTATCAATATTGTCTTTCCTTAATGCTTTGGCTTTTAGTGCTGTGGCTTCAATGTCAAGTACTCAGGAATGGATTATAAAGAAAAACCCAATTATATTATTAAGCATAGCTGGGTGGTTTGCAAATTTTGGAAATCCTATGGATTTTTATTGATCCAGTCTATCTGTACCTTTCCCTTTCCCCCTCATCATATTATGTTATTATATTAGAAAACACAATATTGGTTGAGATTGAATTTTCCCAGAGCTCCTCCCTCCCTCCTTTCCTTCCTTCCTTCCTTCTTTCCTTCCATCCTTCCTTCCTTCCGTCCTTCCTTGTATTATTCTCTTTTATAAAAAACAAAAATAATGTAATAGGAAGGAAAGAGTAGGCAATAATCTAAATCTTTGACTATCCAATTTTACTTACTTGCACTTTTTCTTTGTTCTATTAGGGCTATTTTGTGATATTTCTGCCTATAGAGCTATCAACAAATGTTTATTTTCCTAACTGATTACATTTACCTTTTCAAGCAGATTTCCTCTTATAAACTTAGAATCCATTTGATAGAAATTAGTGAAAATACTTTAAAAATTGTCATGATGAAACCAGTTCCTGATTACAACTTTGCGGACTGATTAAATTAATTTACTCTCACCTTGTGAGGTATATGTGGAGAAAATGGAAATGCATAAGATTGATGATCATTAGTAGAGGTGATACCTTTCTTCTTTAAATACAGGAATAATATATTTTTCTCATAATAAAGAATATTTTAATTATGTGGAAGTTGTAAATTTGAACATTGAGTGCTTTCAGAAGACTTATTATTAATCATAAATTTAAAAGGCTTTTCCTTCAGAATTTAATCATCTATCTGGAATCAAAACAGTTATCATTTTACCTATACTATAGAGAAATTAGCTCTGTTTTTGCTAACAGCTACTTTAGCTTTTTCTACAGTAGGAAGTATATAACAGTATTAGAAAGAAATAACAACTAAAGAATGTAGTAATCTGGGAGGATGAATGATAAATGGAGCAAAATCTAGATTGTGTTTCTTACTGGGAAACAGATTTTTAAAATGGGACAATATAAAGCACTATGCACCACTAATAACCACCTCATGTTATTAAGGAAATAGCCCACGGGCTTTTTAACATCAAATTCTAGCGTTATTACTGGGGTTTAGGGATATGATATTAAACAGCTTATAAAAATTTAAGTGTAACAAATTTTAACTAGATTTCAAGGTGATGTGTTCTCTTTTCTTCAGTGAAGAATTTCTCTTGTTTTTCTTTAGTAAGAGTATTTCTGTCTTCCTCCTGTTCTTTTGCCTCATTCATGCTACAAAGCTTAGGTTTTAGGGAATCATTTATGAGTCATTCTAATGAAGCACAACATCAATATTTTACTGAAAAAAAAAGCTTGAAATTTGAAGAATACTTTAGTATAGAACCAACAGCAGAGCCAAAAGAGCATAAAAAGACTGAAGACACAGTCTTCTCTTGGGTGTACTTATAAAACTGTACCGTATCATGAAGGGATCAATAACAACTTACCATGTGATAATTGGTGGCAAACATATTAGTCTGAAATGCCACTTAAACAAGCAAAATAATCTTTTACTATGAGTTAAAATTTTGGACATTGCTCTGAGGAGCAATAAGTCAATTTGCCCACTGAAAGTGGCAGTTCCCTTTGTGGCAATGATGGGTGGTTTCCATATCAGGCTAGCTCCATAAATTGAAATTCCCAGACAGATTGGGAGGGGGGTCATTTATGAGAGCAGATGCATCATGTATTGTTTCATGGAGCAAGAGGGTTATGTTAGGAAGAACTTGTTGCTTTTTACACAATTACCAATATAATGTTTTGAAATATTTATGATGCTGTATACATCGATTTCTTACTTTTAATTTTATGTAATAGCTTTCTGAAACTTACTTGGATTTTAAGACACTTGTACACAACTGGTTAGTGAAATTGGAACATTAGGATTTTTGCTGACCAATAAAAGATTTTGACCAAAGTCATTTTCAGACTAAGGATGTTTTATGTGGATTAGCATCTGTTAAAGTAGTTATTGAGTACTTAGAAAATGTGATACTGAGACCACAATAACATTTTACTCATTTTTGTGTCCATAAGATGCCTTATGATCTAATGTTCTTACTTTAAAAATGTTAGAATGCTAGAATCATAGGAAGAGCATGATACAGTGTTAATTCTTGCCCTGGTATATGAAAGATGAGTCATTCCATATGTGACTTACATGAAGTCAGATATCTCTATGGGTTCAAAGTTGTGCAGTCATATTGATATGAAATTATTCATGTTAACTCATTTACTCTGAGGCTTAACAACCAACATTCTCAAAATTTTTTACTACACGTTCTACCTTATATAGGAAAGATGAAGTTCATTCATTTAGAAAAACAATCAATTCCCTTAAAAGAGTGGCTGAAGGACAATATGATCAGTCCTTCAACGTGATAATCAGTTCTTTATGAGACTTAGCTTTATGCTCTCATTTGTTGCTCAACAAATAGCAGAATCAGAGTTTAAAAAGTAGATTAGTTATTGAACAGAAAGCATCACATCTGAACTGTTGCCAATCCAAACAGAAACACAATATATTGATACATACCAAATACTTGCACGGATGCGCTCATACACTTTAAAGCATTCAGAAGACTTCTTTTGCACATCATTATTAATAGACTAAGGCTCTTGTGGGTGAAGTTGAGAGAAAGCAATGCATAAAAACATGAGAGCAAATGTTAACAAATGACATATATCATGGTGCTTTAAATATTCGTTTCCTGGGACTAAGAGATTTAACTTTTTTTCCCTAAGAATAAAGGAGTTACCAGCATTTTAATGAAAAATTATTCTAGGAAGAGATGTTAAGAAATTTTAAATTATATTTTAAAAATAAGACATATCTTGTTTTTCCAAAGTGATTACAGAGTATAGCTATCATCAGCCTTAAGCACAATGTATTTTAGGTAGAGAATATGTTGTATCAACACTGGCTTTTCAAAAGACTAGTTACTGTTGGGTGACGTGTGTGTGTGTGTGTTTGTGTGTGTGTGTGTGTGTGTGATTTATCAAGGCTCCTTTTGGTGTGAGATAACCAGATGCACCATAAACAAATTGAAAGACTGACTTCATGTCATGTTCAGTTTCAGTGCAGAAGCCTTTTAGCCTTCTTGTGTGACTATTCTGTCTTCTTGGAATGAAACTAATATTTTGAAGGTTAGTCTGTCTTTTTCAGGCAATGAGTATAGGCAGTTCATTGTTACTGAATATAATTTTTTTTGCTTTAAAAAAGCCCTGGTAGGTAGATGAGTTATATTTTTATCCCTATATGAAATTGGTATATTTTGTCCTATGAAGTTTGAGTAACAGATGGAGAAGGAAAGAATGTCTTCATATGTTAATGAGAAAAAATACTAATTTAAATGAGTCATAACATCTTCTAGGACAGAGGACTTAAGGAAGAGCTTTAGAAAAGTCTGATTAACTTCAAAACATTTATAAAACCAGGAGGTAATAATGGGCCTCCATTGACTCAAGTCAACCATGACCTACCTTTAATCCATGGATGGACCAAATGAATTTTCTGAAGTTTCATCAACTTGAACTAACAGTTTGAATGTTTCAATTATTACCCAAATGCAACTTTGGAGAGGCTTCTTTTGTTTCCTTGCGTTTACTTGTATCTTCAGTCTTTAAGATGTACAGTAATATAAGTAATTGTTGATGATGTAGGTAAGGATGAATTTGAGCTCATTATTTTTATAGGATTTATGTGTAGCATGTCTTTCTGTAAGGAAAATTGTATTTTGATCAAATTATGAGGCTAGGTTTTTATTTCTGGTCAGTGCATGCTTTAAAATGTGCATTAATGTTATCTTTTACATTACTAGATTGATGAGTTATATAATTAAAATGTGTTTTCATGGTTCATGGCTTGTTTATGATGTTACATTGCTAACATTTCATGTATTAATCTGTTTTTCATAAAAATAGAAACATCTTGGTTTCTTTAAAAATTGAATACATTGAAAGATACATCTTAGATAGTATAGACATTTAGTTTCATTGTCATTTTCTGTAATTTCATATATAAATGTTTATTTATCTCATAAAAATTTCAGGTATATTTGAAAAATCATTGTTTCTTCATGAAATGTATTTTATGAACCAGAAGTTTTGTTATACACAATGGTACATAATGATACATAATGCTACATTACATATGTTTTGTATACATGTACCCACAGGAATATATTTATACTTTCACAAAGAGTTTGGTTAAAATTCTGTCTCAGTTTGTGGGATAGTTACTGCTTTCATTCAACTGCATAAAAAGAATTTTATTTTTCCTACCCAAAACAGCTAAGTACAAAAAAAAAAAACCAAAACATGTGATTTAGATCTCATGACTATGGAGAATACCTCTTCTGCACTTTACTGCTTTTCTGTATTGTTCTGTAAGAATGCAAAAGCTAACTTCAACAATGGAGGGAGATCTAAATTTCCAGAATCGAATCTCTTTTGACTACATGGTTAATTGACATAAAAATCTTTCCACAGCCTACAGTTACTGTAGGCATGATAAAATTGCGAGGCACTGTAATTTAAAAAAATTGCAGGCATTATAAAATTGCTAGCTGCATTTGTTATTTTATGTATATTTACAAAAATAAACACACAACTTCCCTTCAGATTTCTGCGTTTAATTTTTTTCTTCCTTAACAGACATTAGTTTATTTGTTGTACAGTCTTTCAAAAGCTCTTATGCTCAAACAGTACAGGGATGGCTTATGTTTTACTTTCCACAGATTTTACAAATTCATTAGTGTAGTAACAACAAAAGTGATTTAAAAATGGAAAACAACAACAACAAGGACAACAAATACCATTAAGTTTAAAAATAGAGAAGGCATCTTCCTTGGCCTCACTGCATTGTCTAGGGACAAGTCATAGGACTGTCCCAGTTCTCTGACTGTTAATCTATTGGCTTTCCTTCATTGCCTTTGAATCTGGAGCAGTCTCCCTGAGCAATTTTTGTTCACAATCGTATCTTAATTACCTATGTGCTGTTACTCTCCCGCCCCCCTCCCTCCCCTCAGCTTCAGATGAGTATAACTGATGGGTATAACTCAGTTGGCTCCAAGTTCCCTGTGCACAAATGACCTGTTCCCTGGAAGACATTTGTATTCCCACATTGCCCATCCTGGCTGATGACACCAGTTGTCATCAGCCTAGAAAACTGGGGGCATGTTAGATTCATGCCATTCTCTCCTTTACATCAAATAAGTCATCCATTTTCCTTATTTATCTGAGGGTTGAGGAATGTGTGTTCCTCGTTACTAAGGATCACTTTCCTGATCTCATGTATTGGCCAAGAGAGTTTCTCTGCATTGATCCATATGGTTATATCATGTGTTGGGGATTTTCTGTTACTGCTTTGAAAGAACTTCAAATATTCCTCATAACCTTTGCCAATTATGTATTCCACAAGTCTTTTTTGCAGTCTGTGGTTTATTTTTCCCCCTCAAAATGGCATAACCTCAAAAAGGTGTTAATATTGGCACAGTCAAATATAACACATTTTTGTGTATTTTATTTATTCAGAAATGTATCTGAACTTTGAAGTCAATTACATATTATTATTCTAATTATTTTTAATTTTTCTTTGTGGTTCTTGTCTCCAGTTCTATTACATTCATTGATTTATGTATGTTAAACCAGCCTTGCATCTCGGGATAAACCTATTTGATAATTCGTGTTTCTGATTAGTTAGTTGTTGGGGCTCTGTGATCTGGTGTCCCGGCCTGGGTTTAGGCCCAGTGGTGTGTTCCTGTTATGTGATGCCCAGCAGTCTATTCCTGGCTGCGATCTGTGTCTGGAGTAGGCAGGTTCTGCCAGTTGTAGTGGGGAGGTTGTCCTGGTCTGAGTCCTGGGCTAGCATATTTTCAGAGGGTCTGGAAGCAGCATTCCAATGCCCAGACATGAGTTGAGCCCTGGGGGAGGTGGGAGGACATCCCACTATGCGTTACGGGGAGATTGTCCCCACCCAAGTCCTGAACTGGTGTCTACTTCCCAAAGGGTGGGGGCTGCGTTCAAAACTCTGGTTCAGGTCAACCGCAGAGGGGGCAGGTTTCCCCACTGTGGGGCAGAGAAATCATCCCCACTTGAGTCCCGGACTGGGGTCTGGTTCCCACGGGGTGGGGAGCTGTGGCTGTCCAGGCCTCTGGGACAGGCAAGAGCTTGGAGGGGCCGATTCCTGCTGGATGGGGTAGGGAAATTGTCCCACTGGAGTCCCAGACTGGTGTCTATTCCTATGGGGTGAGCGGCTGGGTTGAGGCCTCTGGGACAGGTGTGAGCCTCAGAAGAGATGAGCTTTCCACAGGGTGGTGTGGGGAGATTGTCCCTGCTGCCTTGTAGCAGGTTCTTTTCCGCCATCAGCCACAGCTGTGGGGAATGCAGAGTCTCAGCCCCCAACCAATACGGGTCTCGGTGGTGGCTGGTAATTGTGGTTTTCTGTCTTAGAGTCAGAGTAGTGACTTCTGCGGGAAGCAGAAGAGGCGGGAGAAAGGGCTCCAGTCTCTTGGTCCTCTTCAAGTGTGGTGTCCCAGTTCAAGTGTGGGGAAGGGTGTCCAGACCAAGCCACTCTGAGCCACCACCAGTGCTGGTCTCCAGGGACGGGTCCCTGGCATCCCTCACCGTTCCTGGCATTGGTTTGAGCTCACCGGATGCATTGTCGTGAAAGTGTTTGGTGTTTGGATGCAGCTGCCTCTCATTCCTGATCTGTAAGTCTGGATCTTCAGGTGTGTTGCTAACTGCGCTGGGACGGAGGAAGAAGGGAAGGTACTTCTCAGTTTTCCATCCTTGTGTGTGTTAGGTATAAATTCGTCTTCCTTCTTGTGATTCTCTGTTTCTATTTTCCTTGTTGTTGTTCTCTTGAGGTGAGGTGAAATGAGCTTTAAGACCCTAAATCTCTGATCAGAGAGATCTAGGG